GTCAAGCTCTTAGAATAAAGAAAATATGCTCAGATGAAACAGACTAGAGAGCACACAACAAGGATAAAAAACAAACCATGCTACAAAGAGGATATAAAGATACTGAAATCAATAGATAAATTGAAAAGGCTAACAACACTCAGCGGAAAAACATCCTAAAACAGAGCAATACTAAATTTTGAAATAAAATTCCTCTTATTATTACCTATCAGTTTAAACTCAGAAATGTTTCACGAATTCTGAAAAAAAAAACATTTTCATCTCCTACAATTGAACAATAGTCTTAAACAGATATTTCCTGAAGTTCCCGTTGTCTCCTTCCGAAAAAGCAGAACTCTAAAAGATATCCTTGTTCACACAAAAGTGAATTACATCCCACTCAAAAATGTTTGTCGTCCATATGATAAAGCCCGTTGTCAAACCTGCAAGTTCATAAAAACCACTGACTCATTTTCTGACAAACACAATCAAAGAAACTTTAAAATATGCAAAGAAATAACTTGTGAAACAAAAAACACCATTTACCTTATACAGTGTAAAATATGCAATTACCAATATGTAGGGCAAACACAAACAACTCTTAAAGAACGTTTCAACAACCATAAATCTTCTATTAACACCGAAAAAGATCTCCCTGTTGCTCAACACTAACCAACCCGGTCATTCCATTAACGATGTTACTCTCATCGGCATTGAAACAGGATTCAAAACTAAGGCACATAGAGAAATAAAAGAAGCTTATTGGATTGCTAATTTAAACACTGTTCAACCTTTCGGAATTAATCTAGATCTTGGAATCAGTGATTTCCGTTCATTGGTTTCATCTCTGTCAGAAAAATAATTTTTATTCTTTGCTTATTTTTTTCGTATAATGTGAACACTGAATTTCCTAAAGCTTATTTCAGATAATTTTCCATACTTGTTTTTATAAATTGATTAGCATAACATATTTTCAATCAGTTTCCAGGTGTCACCTTTATTTTACTTAAACACTTAATTATAGTTTCAAATATATATATATATTTATCCATTTCTAGAGCAAAATATCCCTAACACCTTTTCACATACACTCTCCCTGTTGGCTACACTGTACCAGAAATGAAATGTTTACAACAGTACGTAGAGAAATAGACTCAACATTTCCTGAAAAACTGGATGACCTTCATGACATCACTAAACTCCCTTTATATATATATATATATCACTCATTCGATTACACCACCATTCCCAGTTTGCCCCTGAAGAAGAAAGTTCCACCTTTCGAAAGCACTCTGGTTATAGGGTTTTTATTAATTTCTAATCAAGAAGATACTTTTAAAACAAATACATGCTAGGGAAGAATCCAGAGCAGTTTTGGACTAGTACAAGGTCATATAATATTCATCTTAATTCATGCTGGTTTTGTAAGAGCCAAGAAAATTGTAATAGCTGTAATCTTCACTTTTAATCCTTCAATTAATGACAAAAACACACACAGCAAGAAACATCAAATATACTCAAAAACAATCTGTGTACCATGAAAAGCAATTTACAAATATAAATGGTAATAAAAAAAGCCAGATAATCATTTAAGTTTCTTACCAATGTCAGCTAGCAGACAAGATTTTGTATTGGCTGGAATTCGCTGTGTATGAAATGGCTGCAGTTTTTTTTTCTGTTCTTCCTGTAAATTAAATAGATTCAAGCACAAATTCCCAAGTAAATAAATAAATTAACAGAATACATTCACCTCATAATGAGAAAACTTCAAAAGCAATTCTATAGTTAACATGTATTTTTTTTTCTTTTCATTAGTGAGTAGTGTTAATTTTTTACCTTTTTAAAAACCATTGGAGATGACGCATTAAACATACTTTAGATATAAAACTGGAGAGTGAAAACGAATAAGGCACATAATCCTAGGAGGTTAAATTAATTTGAATAAAATAGCATACAACTACTCTAAAACTTTCTCAGTGTATATTAATTAGATGCTTTAGGCAATTCTTTATTAAATTTCATTGCTTTAAAGGCAAATTGTGAACAAACCATATGGGTATAAATGCTACAAAATATAAGGTAATAAACAAAAGATATATCTTTCTCTCTCTCTCTCTATATGTATATATATATATATATAGTATACCTGAGGAAAATCTCTTTTCGGTGGCACATTGAAGATATTACACCATCCTTCCCCACTTATACATATAAGGAAATTCTAAAGATAATTAAAAAAAAGAATCTGCAGATTTTCATCATTTTTTTGCACCTAACTTTAGAAAAAATACTTGTTATAACATACAAAAAACCGAAAATTTTGCATCATTGTTTTTGACTATTTACAAAAACAAAATTTAAGAAAATTTCAGGAGAATACTTTCATGGAACTACTTCTTAATTTGTTTATTTCTGATTTGGAGTCCAAGTAGTATAAAACACTTGGTAAAAACTGTATAATCTGTAAAACAATCCGTAAAAATACTGTAAATGTTCCAACAGAAAGTACTTCCTTCTATTGGAATAAAAGATGCCATTATCCAAATATACATAAAAGAAAAATACTGTAAATAACAAACAAGTATCAGATATATTGCAAAACAGTAAGAAACAGTGAAATAACTATAATCTGATACAGTCAGACAAGACTACTTGGTTTAGTATATGCATAAAAAGATTAGAGATGAGCATTTAGTGGAATTTGCTATTTGATTAATTGTTGTGCTTACTAATTAATTATTGTCACATGAGACTTGGATAATTGGAATAATCAAAAATAGTAATAATCAGAAACACTAATTTTGATTTCGTAATTAGCACTGAGAGGTTAAATTGATTAATATAAAAAAATAATCAAGTAATTAAAAGATGTTTCCAATTATTACTGTTTTCACTTATTCCAGCTGTCCAAGTAATCTAAATACTACCATTATAATTTTCCTTATTCTTTTTAAATAATGTGTGATTCTTCAGCTTAATAAATAAGTATCATGACTGACAACAATAAACAACTGTGCTTTGGGGAAGTTGCTGCACGAGGAGGTTATATAACCCTCCTGTTGGTGGAGGGCTATCATTGTCATCATGCACTAGTGCAGTTCATGTTAAACATGTGATTTTTAGATGGGAGTTATCTCAAGGCTAGTGACATGCAAATCTCATAGGCAATTAGTTGCATGAGGAATCAAGCTACTCTGTGTGAAGAGGTGCATATATCTATCAGAAATACATTTTCAGGTAAGGAAAATGTTCCTTTATCTTTTTTTTATTATGGTCAAGTTATTTCTTATAGATAAGTTTAGTGCTTTCTTATTTTATGTACTGGAGCTAACAATAGTAATGTATAATAAAGAAAATTCTGAGGACACATTATAATATGTTTAATTTGATGAAACCTCAATTCCCTAAAAAGTCTATTGGGCTGAAGAAAAAAAAAGAATCGTGTATTGCACTCGAAATAACTTCATTCTTAGATAAGGAAAATTAAACTGCACCAGAAGGTATCTATTGCAAATACATTTTCAGATAAGGAAAATGTTAACTACCAAGATGATACCTCACCTCCTCACACAGAATAGCTAGAATCCCACAATAAAATGGTGGTGGAGTTGGTGCAAACATTAAACCTATATGAGTTCCCTTCAGAGAGTGTGACACCCAATGGCAAGGGCTTCACAGTCTTAACCAGGGTATACTCTTTGCTCAGACAGTTGACTTTTAGTTGGTTATTTTTAGAGCAAGGCCACATTGAGCTATCTGATGTGTCTACCACAAAAAATCAAAACCCAGATTTTAGCATTGTAAGTCCGTAGATTTACCACTGTCCCACTGAGGGACTGCTCAGAGGAAAATGGAATGAAAATCAAATGATCCCAAAGAGTCACAAGGATTGGTAGAATTTTAGTATGACCAACTGAGCACCTGCACACAAGTGGTTAGCACAGTTTATGTCTCACCTTTACTCAACTGCACAGACATAGACAGGATTGACAGACCCATCCTGCTGCAAGAGGAGGGCACACTATCATCTTGAGGGGTGACCTGCACTACACAGACAGTACCACCACCACCACCCTACTTCTCATCATATTAGGCTGTATACAATCAGTGAGAAACTTTCCAAGGTCCACCACTCCAGCATCTAGGAACTTATAGGTGGCAAGGGTTTCCCATATTCGACTTGAAGAAGAAGGAGAATTTGCATTGGGGGAACCTAGAGAAGTGCCTGGATCCCCATTGGATGTTGTCTGCCAATGGTGACCATGAAACCCTTTTCTTTAAAAGCTGGCACATGCAAGCCAAAAAAGTGAGCAGTCATTTCCTTGGTACCAGCTTTTTCCATGACAGCCTATGGAATGGTACGGTCTGGATCGAGCACGTAAGTAATTTTAATACCACAAAGAAACCTCTAGTGGTCTTGCTAAATACTTATCTCAACAGTGGGCACCTCTAGCCCAAAGCAGATTTTGGGAGATAAGCATAGCTGGGAGGCAATAACAGCCACCTGGCAGGATCCAATAAAAGGGAAAAGGGTGATGAAAAGAATATATACTTACCCTTCTCAAAGGTGGTATATAGTTGTATTGCACAGTGACTAGATGGAGTAAAATAAAATATATTTACCTTCTTTTCATTCACGACATCTCCAACAGTAATAGAAGAAATCTGAAAAGTAATAAGTTTAATATTGTTGTGCCTCATACATTTTACATTTAAAAATCACATACCTACTTATCTTAAAACTGCTTTGACTATCCAAAATGGTGTTAATTTTAACAAAGCACTATAAATAAAATTTCAAAGTAAATTTATTATAATTTATATTTTTTGGGGAAGACTTGCATAAAATGTCTGACAGAGTCATTTTAATCTTTTTTGAAAACTGATAAATATTAGCATTCTGAAAATATCATCAATTATATAAAGTATTTTACTGATTAATACTTCAAGGAGTAGCCTTACCACAGTAAACCTTAAAAATTATATGTGCACCTTCCTTTTTGGTGCAGAAACATAGTAGTAGAAAATAAATTGTGGGAAATAACTACAAGGACATAAACTGTGGAATGATAAGTTTTATTTCCAAGAGGTTCAAAGGAACACAGTGGCTTTTGTAGAGTATACATTAAAGAAAGTGTTTAAGTCTGTTTTGAGTAGTTACTCAGGTTGATTATAAACGTTATGAATCAAGTAAAAAACTCCAGACTTCAAAAAGAAAATTAAAAATCTGAATGCCAAGACTTGTAAGAAAAAGAGAAGAATAAAGCTGGGTGTACTTTGGTGTGAAATGACAAAAGATGTATGGATTTAAAGTATTTCTACACCACTTGAAATAAGAAACTTTAAAAAAAAAACAGGTTTGAGCTTTTGTTAATGAGTGTGAAAAATAAAAGCTTGTGAAGTTTTTATGAGGGGAAATTCAAGTGAATGATTTGAATGACATAAGTGCACTTGAATATTTTGCGTCCTGGTGACCCATCTGGTTGGATAAAAGTGTGGTCCCAAAGTAAAAGAAAATGGAGGCCATTATATGTTTTAAATAAAACATAAAAAACCAGAATTTTCAAATTTCATATATATTTCTAGCTAACAGCAGTTAACATCTGAATAAGATAACACCAGGTTGTTAACTGTTAACTTTAAAATGTTGCTAGACACTGATGATATTCAATGATGAATACAAGACTGCTAATGTGACCCCTATTTTTAAGCAAGATGGAATCCTCAATAGCCATGGCTGTAATTAGATCTCAAATTGATCAAGAGATGGAGCTATGAGCTAAAAGTTTGTACTTGAAAAAACTCAGAGCTGCTGTGCCACAGATAAAAAACAATAGGAAATTACAGAACATCATGTACACTTCTGTTGTTAGCAATATTGAAATACTGTGATAGATCATTCAAAAAACATGTTGAAAGTCTGCATTTAAAAACAATCATCAGTATGATTTTAGAAAAAGACCTTTGTTGCCCTAAAAAGTTATTTTTTGAATAGGCATCTACTTTTTTTTAGAATAAGGTATGTGAAAGATGTTTTATGAAATGCAAGATGGCCTCATCTGCAGACCCAAAGCTTCCTGATGATTGACCCATGCCCCCATCCCTGATGGGATATATCAGGGAAAAGATATAGATCTGGATGTGGGGGAGGAAGCAGCCTGCCTGCTGATGTCTGTGCTTTGTCCAGCCACTAATGCAGATTGTCTTGCAGGGAAGTAGGATGGAAAGAAAATCATAAGCAAGGTTCTATCATTCATGAAGTGCCCACTGAAGGAATTTCATATGAACATGGCCAAGAGGGACCAGTGCAGTCATGGAAGACCACATCCCAATGATAGACCAATTGTTATGTATAACAAAGATGTAAAGAAGAAGGCAGAGAACGACTGATATTTGTGTCAAAAAAAGATCCCCAAATGGAAAAGATATTGAGTGGGTCGAAGGAAGGACTTCTCCAATTTGATCAACCAGTCCACCTGAGCTGAGTATGAGTAGCAGATTTCCTGTTCAGAATGAGCCAGTCATTCATGTAATAATGAAATTGCATCCCAAGAGCATGGAGATGACGTGCAAAAACTTGGACTAGGTAACACATAGGGAGCTGATGCAAGCCCAAAATTGGTGATCCACCCCGACATGAACAAACCAAAGGTAAAGTCAAGACCAATGTGCTATCTGGATGTGGAAGTAAGCATTGGAGACATCCATCTTCAGCCCATTTCAGGGTGAGAAAAGATTCTATGGTGAACTTCAGTAATATGGTGAAGTAGTTGAGATGAGATAAATTGATGACTGGCTGCCAATCCCCAGTTTCTTGGGGAAAACGGAAAGATGAGTATAAAAACCCCAGGAAGAATTGGTACCGGTTCAATCACCTGCTGGAGAAGTAACTCTAGAACTGCCTCTAACAGATGCTGACAGGTCACAGGATCTCGAGGAGGAGGAAATGAAATGGGGCAAGAAGAATCAGGAGGTGGGTAAGAAACTCGATAACAAATCCTTCCGATTGAACTTAGTATTACCTACTGATTGTCAATGAAGAGATGCCAGCAAGGAAGAAACTCTAACAGTCAACCTCCCACCAGACCTGTACTTATAGGGTAGTCACCAGTACAGTTTGCGATGGGGGTTGTGTTATTGAGGAAATTGATGAGAAGAAGTATCCCCATGAGAAGGAATGGGTAAGGGTTGTGAGTATGAAGGACAGGAAATGAGAATAGGAGGCATTTGACTGAGACAAACAGGTGACAAAAGTCAGATCGATGTTACCCGAAGTTTGATAGTTTCTAGGGCAGTATCATAGATGTAACGTTTCAGAAAACGTACAAGACCTAAATCCCTGAGATAGGTTGAGGGTAAATTGACTCAAGCTAAAACTGTGTCCTGACCTATAAGGTCCCAACAACAGAGAAACCACATACATAATAACAGAGTCGAAGAAGAAATGTTGGCTAAAGTGGAAGAAAAAGTGTAAGTGTATCTGCAGAAAACCCCTCAGGATTTCTGTGAAGAGCCTCTTGTTTGTTTGTTATGAATTTCGTACAAAGCTACACGAAGGCTATCTGTGCTAGCCGTCCCTAATTTAGCAGCATAAGACTATAGGGAAGGCAACTAGTTATCACCATTGACCGTCACATTATAATGCCCCCACGGCTGAAAGGGCGAGCATGTTTGGTGTGACGAGGATTGGAACCCGTAACCCTCAGATTGGGAGTCGAGCACCTTAACCACCTGGCAGATGCTTCTGGAAACTAGCTTTGATATATATATATATAAAATCTGGAAAGTAATTTTACCAAAAAATTAATGAAAAAGTAAATTTACGAAGCTTAAAGTGAGTAAGAATATGAACAAACTGAATCATTACATTTTAGAATTAAGAAAATCTCAGACTTATCATAAAATTCTATTCAAAATGCTTGTGTGTTACTGAAGAAAGTTTTGATTTAAAACTCAACAGTATTAGTGTACATATAAACATTTAATATAATGCACGGGTGAAAATCTGTAATCATAATTGAATTCTCATTTCTATAAACATTTGATAATTAAATACAATTAGGTATACAAACACAGTATTATAAAAACAAAAACAATTTCCTTACCATTCCTAAATCACTTGCAACAGCCCATGGCCAGTTGGCGGTTTCTCTGAAAATTGCCAAGTCTCCTTGAACATTTCCTACTGTGAGTTCATGACACTGAAATTGTGGACAAGCAACTGGTAAGTACATGGACATTCATTATTACAAATAAATTAACTACTTAGGTCCTCATTAGTACAATTTATGGGCATTATATGATTTGGAATCCCATCTATACTGGTTTTATCAAGAAACAGTGCAAAACCCTACATATAAAAACCAATAAAAATCTCTCCATTTTGCCAAAACTCATCAATAACCAGTACACTAGCAATTTAAACTGAGGTTTTGTTTGGAGAATGGGCATTTTAATTCATAAGCTAATTAGACAGATTTTTTTTTTTGCTGCTGTTTCAGTATGTAAGATAAATATTCTACATGTGACTGCATAATACACATTGAAGTGGTGCAAGTTTAAATATGTGCATAATAGGAAAACACAAATATATAAAAGAGTGAAAAGGAAGCAAGCCAATTTGCATATTAAGGTAAAACATTATACTTTCCAAACAAAACTTCTATTTCAAATATAGAGTTATGAAAGAACCCAAGGTAATAATGCTAACAACTCTTTAGAATTATAAACTTAACCAGCAGTGGAAACAGATCCTAAATTTGGATGCTTTGAAGCAAATTTACTATTTAACATAGCATTTAACAACAGCAAATGACCTTTTCAAGTTTGATGACGAAGAACCCACTTTGAGACTAATAATACTTGAAGACAGCTTGAATGGATAATGAAGAAAAAACTTTAATATAGGTTTAACATAACAGCAAATGTACAACCTTTCGACAAGGTTTCATCATCATCAGGTACGACGAGGAACATGATGATGACAAAACCTTGTTGAAATGTTGTACATTTGCTGTTATGTTAAACCTATATTAAAGTTTTTCTTCATTACCCATTCAAGCCGTCTCCAAGCATTATTAAAGGACCTTTTCATCTATCAAGAATGTTCCATCCACTAAACTAAACAATAAAAAAATAAAATAAATCTCTCAAAGTCACCCTTTCTCTTTCAAATATTTAGCCTTCCCTGCTCTTTCAGCATGGGGTCGGTCCCTGGGACTGACCTAGTAACCATTTTGTGCTTGTTATAGTTTTCATGTTATAACTTTTTAATTACCAAGCAAATGTTAACGAAATTTGGCAGATTATCAGTAAACATTACAATGCTTTCATACGCAAATTATCAATTTTTTTTATTAAGTCTTAAGGTTTGTAAAGCAATGTTTTTCTCATGCATTTTTTCTTTTCACATGTTGCCTATCTATCATGCAAAGTAATTTTCATTTTAAGATTAAAAAATACTATTATGCATCAGAAAATTTTTGAATTTCGCATGCAAAATCTTTATAATGTCTAGATAGTTATCAAATCTTTCTTAAGAAAAACTTTATATTTTATCTGTTATTTTCAGTAATTAATCTTTGTACGTGTACAGTAAATTTGACTGATCTCGTAACCACCATAAAAAATTAGGAAATAAATATAGATTATGCCTCTTTCATTCTAGAATGAACATAAATAACATAAAAAAATAAATGTTTAGACTAAATAGCTTAAATCTCATAACATTATACATTTATGTATATTTATTATTTTTATTATATTGATCTTTCAGCCATGCCTGGCTAACAATACAGAAGTTATAATGACGTGGCTCACGTGCACTCATGTTACCGTATCAAACAACATAAAACTGACCATTGGTCTGTACAAAGTAACTTGTCTTGGCTTTGTTTTAATAGACTATTATTTTGTAAAATACAGTCACAATTAATACATAATACCATATAATTCCACTATAATTTATCAAGCTTAGTAACTAAGATGTATTTTAGTCTAAAAAAATATGAAATTTCGTGCAGACTAAAGACACAACCTACCTCCTTGAAATCTTAGTTCAAAGAAAAGAAATGGAGTCCTAAGAATTTAAAATGGCCGAGAAAGTCATTAGGGGGACATTCTGAGCTTCCGATTGGTTATTCATGTCATATATAGAAGTGTGTATGAGAGAGCATTTCCAAAAATGGTAAGATGTAGGTGGGGTGTCACCGTGTTTGTTTATTACATGAGCAATATCTTAGCAAATAGAAAAGATAAGACAGTCTTATTTTATATTCTAGCTTGTCAATATCGGTAATTTTAGTT